AAATCTGGGTCAGTTGAGAACAATGGTTCCCATTAACTGTGCATGCCTGGAAAAGTTCTCCCTCAGCCAGAGCACAGCACCACACCTTATTTTGCCTCACACCCCCTTTTTCAATTGGTTGTGATGCTGTAGTGTTAATGCAAATGGAAAAGGATCAATTTAAACAGATTGTGTCACTTCAGGGGGTATGGATGAATTATAAAACTTCTGATTGCAGGTAACAAGTCCATGAATGCAACACAAGTGGATAAAAATCTGTGCATACACCTTGTAATTCAGTCAGTGGTTTAAAAGTTTAATATTCAGTAAGGGTTGAAGACATTTAAACCACAAAAGAACTACAAAAAAAAATTCCACCCTCATTAAAATCAGCTGGAGGCAATCAAACATGTCTGCTGTGAAAACTCTTAGGACTCAAGCAAAACCCAATCTCAGATTAAACAACCAGGTGTCAAATTAATCTGAAAATTAACAAGCAATGTAAGGTAACATTTACACAAATTTAAAAGAAAAAGTTGTCCTTAAAAGTTTTCAGGAAATGTTAGCTCTGTTTAACAACAGCGGTTGGTTGATAAAGTGCAAAAAAAGTTTACATACCTGCCATGGCTGAGAGGAGACGTATTAACCGAGCTACTGTGGCAGCTCGCACTCAAACACCGCTGCTCTGCGTGCAGAGAGAAGGGCTGACTAAACACACTGAGGTGATTTTATACCACGGAGAGTGGCAGGTCACGTGACAGGGTCTCCACACACCCAACGTATGATCCTTCACACCCTCCTGCCCTGCTCCCACATATATACAATCCCAGAGACATGCATGCAAAAAAAAATAAAAATACCAGGTGCTCCTGATGTCTTTCTGCATGCACCTTTTCTCTTAAAATAAAGATAAATATATATATGTACATGTATATATATATATCCTTAAAGGAGGCATTGAATTTTTATTTTTTTCCCTTTGAGGTAACTCATAGAAATTATTCTGCGTTAGTTTACCAAAGCTATTAGGTTTTTAGCATTTAATGCCATATTAGGAGGTTATTTATAAAGTATGATTATTCTTTTCGCCATCTAGTGGTCAAAAATATATAATCAAAAGCAGTTTTTAGTTGAGAACATTTGTATAGTATTTAAATAGATATTTTTATGTAGGGAAACCTTTTCTTTTTTGTTTTTATTTTAGCGAACAAACTCCACGGTTTGTGGGTGTGTGTCCACCCCCTCATAACAATACATACTAATATGATTGGGTGTTTAGAATGTGGACCAGAGGCTGAGGATGGGGAGCTGAAATGGACTGAATAAACAACAGTGCTGTGCATGAAAGGACAGAGCACATTTTACTTTTAGAGAAAGTTGATATCCTTTTTCTTTTGCTGTAAGATCAGCAGTCCCCTATTGCAGGCATCCCCAACCTCGGTCCTCGAAACCTGCTGTCCTGCAGGTTTTAGAGGTTTCCTTGCTCCAGCACAGCTGATTTTAATTGAAAGCTGATTAACAGGCTTTTGGTCTACTGCAATCATTATAATCAGCTGTGCTAAAGCAGGGAAACCTCTAAAACCTGCAGGACAGCGGGCCATGAGGACCGAGGTTGGGGATGCCTGCATTGGATTAGCAGTATCAGAGCCAGTGACATAAAAAAGCTGAACAAACTGTTTTCAGAAGGCGGATTCTGTTCTTAGGGTGGTTGGGAGCTCTTGGGCTCATGGGATACTTGTCCACCTCCACTATTTCCTGAATTTTGCTAGATCGTTTGTTTCATGTTTTTTCATCATTGTACAAACCGATTAGTCCAGGTGTGTCTGGCCAATGTCATCATGGTTACTGAGACCACACAATCCTGCACTAATTTATTCATAGAATGATTAAAAAATGGGAAACAAAGGAGCTGCCTGAAGTTCAGGAAACAGTGGAGTTGGGCATGTAGTCCACAGCTGCAGGGGCCGAGCTCAATTTGTGGCAGCACTACCTGGTAGTGGCACTTCCAGTGACAGCTAGTTCTAATAGTTGCACTTGTTTGAGTGGCAGCTGGAGAATAGTGGCACTTCCGAAGACTGCCAAAAAGGTGCCAAGGGTGTTGTCGCACTGCTGTTGCTGTTTTGGGCAAACGATTTGTTATAGACGCCTGTTAGTCTATAAAAACTTCCAAGTAATTATATTTTATTTATATAATTTCTTATAAAAGCTTGTAGAACTTTCACCTGGTACCTGCCACAAGGCTTCACTAAGCCGACAGGCCACCTGCCGCACTTCCATTACCGTTTATGGGCAAATGCTTTGATTTTGGGGTTATTTATGCCTCTTCTATATGTACTTTCAATGAATGATGTGCTTGATTAACATAATGTATGAAAATGTATAAACAAAAAAAAAGTTATAAGGTAAGAGTTTGTTACTGCTCATTGGCGCAGTGGATACACTGCTGTCCAGCAGCAACAGGGTTCTGAGTTTGATTCCTGGTCTGGGGTCTTTCTGCATGGAGTTTGCATGTTCTCCCTCTGTATGTGTGGGTTCTCTCCGGGTACTCCAGCTTCCTCCCTCAGTCCAAAAACATGACTGTTAGGTTAATTGACTTCTCTAAGTTCTCCTTAGGTGTGAGTGTGTATGTGAATGATTGTTTGGCCTGTTTCTGTTTCAGTGTGGGCCTGCGATAGACTGGCGACCTGTCCAGGGTGTACCCCACCTCGCACCTGTAGACAGCCGGAGATATGCACCAGCACCCCTCGTGACCCTAGCCGGGATTAAGCGTGAAGGGAAATGGATTTACAATGGTAACTGTTTTTGTGGGTGGTTTGTCTGGTGATAAGAAAAACCAATGTTGTGATATGAAAAAAAATCTAGTGAAAATACATTGGCACACTTATGTAGTCAGTGGCAGTTGGGTGCCATGAAGATGCCAGGATAATGCCAGAGGATGCCAGGATGCTACCAAGATGCCAGACTGACTGTAAAAGCTTTCAGCATCACATGGTGGCTGCTGCTGTTTTTGTGAAAGCAATGCTGATTATCGACAAATGGGATGTCAGGACAGTTATGAGCTACTGACTGTTTGTAAATACGTACTTTCAATTGATGGTGTCATTATTGTTTTTGAATTAATAAAAAGTTTTACAAAATAAATAGTGACTGTATACTGCAGCATGTCATATATGTATGCATATGACATGCTGGAAGGATGGCAAAGACTCACTGCAGCAAAGACTCACTGCAGCTTACTGTGAGTTGTTACAGAAAATAAAATACTTAAGAACATGCTGGTACTCAGTAGAATTCCCTGGCCACAAAGAAGCCACAGCATGCTAGAAGATACCATGGTAGACACAGAAAGTGTTTGCAGTTACAATGGCTGTGACAACTTTATTATTTACAAACCTGCCAAGAAGATTAATTATTGTTACTCGAATTTTGCAAAAACCTTAAGATTTTGCAGATCAATAATGACAGAGCAGAACTTGTCGTAGTAATTTTTATTTTCAAAAAGAAAGGTTTAAAGTTCAGCTGGAGAGCTGTCATCGTAATCTGTCTCCAAATTCTGCATGGCCTGAAGGGTTTCAGTTTGTTCTTTGTTGTCCATACTAAGTACTCTGGGAAATTTAACTCTAAAAAAATTATTTTTGGCACCAATCTGCTGCAACGTGGCTGTCATTCAAAATAGCCAAAATAGACAGGCTGTCTAGCACCCGCTTCATGGCCATGGCAGGTCATGAAATCAGTAGCAGGTCATGAAAATCAGTGGCAGGTTACAGAAATCAGTGGCAGGCTGTCTGGCACCTCCTTTGGTGGTGCGGCAGCAGCATCTGCCACGATTTTTGCCTGCTGTCTCTCACTAAGTGTGTGAAGAATGATGCTTCTTAAAATTAAAGACATAATTGATAACTTGGAGCTTCACAACAAAACCACAACATTATTTTCATTCGGATTGTTGATTCAGTTGAAGGCTTCTTTGGATCCATCAGATACGCAGCAAACTGAAAGACTACAAAGATCCCTTCTGCTCTTTAGTGATCACCAATTATTCTTTGATGAATAACAGATATTAAGAGTTCCTCCAATATCTAATTATCCTTTAGAATAAGTCCAATAAACATTGGCGAAAATTTAAAAAGTTATTGTCAGAGACTGTTGGAAATTGATGAACATTTCTTTGCAACTTAATAACCTGATACTGATGAGGAGCAACAACATTTTTAATGAGGGCTTTACATAAAAAAGGTGCATTGGATTGACATAAAATGGAGAGATGAGTTTATATCCTTGTGCAATGACTCACCTTTCAGTTATATGAATTACTTGCATTCCCTTTACCCTGCACCAATTGTACAACAGCTGCTATTGAACAAGTGGACAGCTTTAGGTATGTGAGGGTTGTTTTGATGCTTTAACAATAGACAATGCAACCTTTTAATTTCTTAATCTCTAAACTTTTTAAAAAGTGTAGGTTATCGTAATGGATGTTATTCTAAAGTGTGTTAAATAGTTACTGTCTTTTTAAATTTGGGTAGTTGCAGGTTTGAACTGGGAGGGGGATGTCTTGGAAGGAGGGTTGTTTCTGTGAGTAGCTGTTTTTTATACTGACCCAAATAAACAGGGTAAACTGCCTGGTGCTTGGTTGCCATAGTGGAACGTTATAATATTTTTGCATTAATCTTTTGTTGAATTACTCCAGTTCATTTGGATTTCATGTAACACAGCCTCTTGAAAGAGTTTGTCCACATTTAGGCAGATGCTTGGCAGAGCAGAGATGATGCCAAGGAGAGCCCTTACTGTGCTGCTGGACTGAAATCTTAAAAAAAAAGTAACAACAAAAAAAAGAAGAAAAACAGACAAACATAATCCATTGTAACATGGCTTTATGGTTTGAATCTAAAAAAGGATTTTTTTGCTGACCCGCCTTTATTATGCACACTGCACTTAATTGGGTTTTTCTCTTTTGCATATCTTTCAACAATGAGTTCAGGACACCAATAAAAAAAACTAATTCAGCATGTTGGGATGGATCATTGATTTTATTGTTTCCACTTATCTTGACATTCTGTCAAACACAATGAGAAAACATGGCTGGAGGTGACCGTATCCATGGAAACACACAAGAAGATTGGTTAGAGGTTGTAAGGGGTGGTGGGAGTAGCGTTGGCAGGGGTCCTGGCTGTGTTAGCAGGGGTCCTGGCTGCTACACTTTTTAATAGAGATCTTTTGCACGTGGGTGGTGATATACTTCACAGTCAGCTCGGTCTCCTTACAGATTGGCTTCATCTCAGACTCGGGCAGCAGGAAGCCATAGTGACCATTGTCACCCAACACAAAGGTGTAGATATATTTTACTCTGAGGTCGTAGGCCCAATCGTCGGAGCCTCCTGCAGTGGGGTGTAAGATCAAATAAAGAGCCAGGAAGTTACACAGTGCAGCATATGCTGATCTATAGAGATGCTGATCATTGGTTGTTTCTATAAATTACCTGTGAAGCATATTCCCGGAGCCATAAAACTGCCTGCTTTTGCAGCCAAATGCACACGTCAGTACTTTTATGCCGTGACTCGGTGAGAGTATGGATTACCAAGATGGCGGCAGGTGGCTTTAATTTTTTGGCCTATAAGCTATTGAGTTAATAAATAGAGATCAGTGGCTTAAACAGGGTATACACTGTTTGATATGTTCAATCGTTGCAGGCTACAGCTCAAACTGTACGACAAAACTGCAGGGTTTAAAAGGTCACAGCTCACGATGCATGTTCTCACACTGTGCGGCTTGATGCTCTGATGCGTTCTTACAACGGCCGACTGAATTTCAAACATGTTTGATTTTCTACCGACCTTAAGTTTCCTGATCAGGGGGTGGTTGTGAGATGCTAATTGCCCCTCTTTACCCCCTGTATACTACATGATGCACGACGCCCGAGGAGTCTAAAACACGGCCTGATCGAAAAATTCTCGCATGACTGGAGAATCGGCCTAAAAAGGGCAACAAATTGGACAGTGTATGCCCGGCTTTAGCAGCACTATTAAAGATCGGAGAAACCTGCTGGGAAAACTGTGCGGAGGGCCCAGGAGAGGCTACAGGTGGCCTGGGATAGCTACATCGCTGCAATCTGACTGTTAGGTGTTGCTGAAAATTACATACTCTAAAAATCTGGTTAATTTGATTGGCTGTGCTGAAGCTGTCGCAGACATACATATCTGCATCTGAGCATTTATTAAAGTTAACTCTAAAATCATGTGACCCTACCTCTGGAAAGTAGCCATCATAAGTTACCTCCAACAATTTGTCTGGAACAAGATCCTAGCCGCAATTACCCTTTAAAGTGTTCCGTTCTCTCCACGTTCACTGGCTTTATCTATACATTCTTTGCACTTGTTCAAACAAAACCTTGTTTTTTGCATTACACAGAAAAAATCCCAAAAAGCTGTAGTGAGTTGCTAAAAGGAAATGAAACTCCCAGAAACATACATGAGCAGGAAATTACATTTCCAAGAGGACACATGATCTATGCCGGATCCCTGGAAACCTTTTATTCTGGAAGTCCAAGACAGACAAAAGTTGAAGTTTTAGACAGTGTCTCCATAGACTCACCGCTTGCCATGGTCTGCAGCCAGATGAAAGGTGTAGGAGTAGGGGAAGAGCAGAAGCTGAGTGTATGAGTGCATGCTGATGTAAGCTTTGATGGAGGGCTTGTTTTTGTGGATAAGGTCAGCAACATTCTTCGCCTCGATCAACAGCTTGGTGTTGCTAGAGGCTATCCCTGCGGGTTTGTTAGAATGTCCAATGGCTGAGACAAATGAGGGAAAAAATAATAAATTATAATGTCAAAAAAAGTTTGTTGCTCTTATTCTTGCTCTTATTCTGAATTTTATTCAGTTTAGTCAGATCTACTGTAAAAAATATGTCCTTATACAATTATGTTTAAATATCATGGTATCATGGTTTCTTCTTCCTTTTTTTTTTGCTCTTCCACCTAGTTGATTTGATTTAGCTTTTCCAGAAAAAAAAAAGATTTATCTTATTTTCAAAGCATTTAATTGTCTAAGCATCTGTGTATGCACTTGATCAAAATAATGCAATAAAAAACAAAGAAAAAAAATAGATATGACCGGTTCTTCAGTGCTTTATATTTGAGGGTTTAATGTATGTTCTAGCACCTGTTGAATCCCCCTCCAACAATTTCCAATTTTTGGTATCACTTTACATTTTCCCCTTGTAGATGGCTAGTAATTTGTCTATATATTGTGTAAATTAATCTATGAACACTTCATAAATCATTCATAACTGTTTACTATGCATTCCACATATCATTAATGCAAAAAGGATTATGCTTACAAATGCTTATCTTAAGTAGAGTAATTGAATGTCCCTCATGTTTCTCTGATGACCTACTTACTGACCAAGATAGGGTTGGAGGAGGAAAGGGAGCTTGTCCATGCATCAATCTAAAATATTTTGACATTATTAAAGCTTAGGTAAATACTATTTTAGTTACTTACTCATGCTTTATGCCGCTGTGCTCCAACATGGGGTCAACCTTTTCAAGGCCGAGGGCTACTTCATGGGTACTGAGTCATAGAAAGGGCTACCAATATTGACCTTTGATCTGGAGGAGTCAGCATTCACTTAAACTTCTACACAATAATCATATTTTTGTTGTTTTTTTTAATTTATAATAAAAGCAAAAAAAAATTCAAATCTCTATAAATGCTTAAGTGTTCCATATAATTTCTATGATGAAATGCTCTATAAATTATTAAGAAAAGAGAGCAACACAAAAAAAATAAAATGTCAAAACCAGTCCACTGGTTAGTTGTTCTGTTTTTAGTATTTGCTAAGGACACCCCATGTGTTCCTTGAGGGGCCCTTGGTGCCTGATGTTACTGTGTTGGTGACCCCAGGTGTGCACTATATCAAGCAGGGACATGGATGTTGACATTAATGTCAATGGTCTCTAAATCCTCCCTGTTAGGGCTCCAGAATTCAACCTGCAGATGGCAGCAAACTCTTTGTTTATGAATTAAAGAGTTCAGATAGAATCCTGGGATAAAACTTTCAATATTGAGTTGTAAAAACATTATGCCAGAGTTCATCCAAATTTGTGCTGTTAAATTTAGGATTTACACATTAGAAATGATGAGTAATTTCAAATACATTTGGAATATTCTTTTTTTATTTTTATTTTTTCTTTATCAACTACAAACAAACTAAGTAAAACATTTATTGCAACAAAACAGGAGTGTATAGCGTCTGTGTGTGAAGGCAGACATACCCTAAATACTCTAAATCTTTAACTAGGGTCACATGGTCATCAAGCTTTGGCCTCAGTTGGAAGAAAGATATATAATTTATAATTTTATGGTTAATTTGTTTATCTGTAACATTTTGATTAATTAAATTAAAACTTTAATTTACATTATATTCTTAAAAAGTTGTTATAATTATTAAAATCAACTGCATATATACTTGTTATGCTGTTAAATACATAAAAACTGCTCAATGTATTTTGTATTGTCTATTGTCAGATCATATCAGTAGCAAAAAAGTAAATAGAGAAAAAAGTTTCCCCACTCTATTTAAACCCTTAAATAATGTCAAAGCTCAGAACAGAAGACTCAGATTTCAAAGCAGAAAGTTTGATATCTCAAAAAAGCATTTATTAAGAGTGAAAGATCTGCGGCAAGGGCGTCTTAGGAAAGAAACCTCTGCAGGATGATAACACGTAGTGACCATGTCATTGTGGCAGAGGATGATTATGAATGTGTGAGTCACTAACCTGTTCTTAAAGTTCAGTACGTGTCCAGAGGACAAGGTTGGCCAAGACGCCGCGGATGCTGCCCCAGAGTGTCCCAGATGTTGAAGTCCTGGAGGTCGGAGAACAGGCAGACGATGAGAGCCTTTATCTGCTTCCTTATTCTCATCGTCTTCTCCTTCTTTCCCATCGCCCAGCATGCCACAGGTTTGCCTCCCGTGTCTAAAAGTGGCAAGCAGCAGCAACCCAGACTGACAGCTCATTGGCTAATTTGTATCACGTATAGCCTCGTCCCGGATGCTCTGGATGGCTTTAACATGTTAACAGGTGAAGTTAGACACCGTCCTCGGACAACAGGCGGTAATCTAAAAATGTTTGAAATCAGCTTTGGTCTGGATTAGCCAGCAGGTGATCCGCTAGTCCATGACCTCTGCTCTAGATGGTCACTGCCCACGACACTGATAATACCTAAAAAAGTTTAGATTTACATATATATCTATATTTTTTATATTTAAATATTTATAAACATTTCTAAATAGAAAATGTTTAGTTCAAGTTGTGAAAATAGGCTGTACTTAAAAAAAACATAAAAACAACAGTAAAAGAAACACTTAAAAAAAAAAAAAAAAAAGAATTGCAATGGTTTTCTTCCAGTACAACTTTTCTTTTTCTATTAACATATTTATTAACCTTTTCACCAAAATATATTCTGCATATGTGTAAAGCACTACTTGGCAAAACAGCATTTTTTGATTCTCATTATCAAAGATAAAATAAAGTGCCCTTCGAAGTGAGTGAAATCAGAGAGACCAACAGCCACCAATCAAAAAATCAACATGAAGTTCAAGTTGGCAGTAAAACTAGATATCTCAAGCGGTACATATATCCATCAGGCCTTTGCGTATTAACCAATCTAATCTAACTTGTATAACAATCATACATCTTCCCTCACCAACTACATACAGCTGTTGTGCTTTTTTCTGATAGTCAATTTTTAATATATGTTTATCGAAACTGACAAAGGTCACTTGATTATTACTTTAAATATAAACAAACTATTAAAGCCATGCTTATTAAAGAAATGTACTGGATAATAAGTTATGTTTCTTTGTAGGAGACATAAATGATAAAAAAATATATATAAATTACTTTATCTCTGAATAAATACAAAATCAGCCCACTGATTAAAATAAAAATAAAATAAAAAAATATTTAAATACCTACATGAGCAGTTTATCAAAAAAAAGCATGACTTCTCTTTACCACATAAAGCAGAATCCTATGTTGTCTTAGTTAAACATTCCATTAATAAATTTACACTGGACCAGATACCGAAGATCTCTATTTTTAAATAGCTGCTGACGAAACACACAAGAGTGCATCATAGATCTTGGTCACTATTGTAACCAGTAACGTTAGAAAAAAACACAACATATTAATGTGTGTTGAGGCTTAAAATAATGCTGTGGAAAAGTGTACACTGTCAAAGAAAGCAGCATCCAAACAGCATTAGGGTAGGTTTGATTAATGTTAGTTTTTCAAAGACCACTCAAGATTCCCTTTAACTATAATGAAGTCTCAATCTAATGTGATTACAATGTTTATGTGTGATATAGGGTGTGTTCGATCGTGAGTGTTCTTGTGCTCTGAGAAGGTTGCAAATACCCGGTTCGATCCCCACAGCCTCCATTCTGGGTTCCTGAGCAAAACCCTTAACCCCACACTGCTCCCTGGGCACCACACAGTGGCAGCCCACTGCTCCTAAAGGGGATGGGTCAGATGCAGAGAGTGAGGCAACTGAGGCAGGAATAAAAAAAAAAAAACAAATCCAAAAATCAAACATGAAAAAAATTAAACAAACCAGAAACCGTGGAGACAGCAGGGGAAAAACAATCACAACGAGGAAGAATCAGAGAGACAGAGTTGGAGGAGCGAGCACTGAGGAACTGCATAAGGAGTGTATTTATGGGAGACTGAAACAAAAGAGAGGACTAACGAGCAGATTGGGAGCAGGTGTGAACAGAACAGACAGGAAAGGAGCTAGGGAAAAGGAGAACACAAGAGGGCAGCAGAGGGCAACAAATAAAAACCTGAAAAATAACTAGAGAACACAACAAAATAAGAATAAAACCACTAAAACCAGAAAAGATGGGGAAAAGTAAAACTGAAAACTCAAAAGAAAACATAACAGAACCAAGACTGTGACACGGGCGAGAGGCGGGGTACACCCTGGACAGGTCGCCAGTTATCACTGTTCAACCAGTAATTGTTTCCTCGAGACAACAAAATAATTATCTTGTTAGCACGAGAAAACAGTTATTGATTTATTGGGATGACAAGATGATTCATCTGTATGAGGCTGGCCCTGGATTCCCAGTCCATCCAAGCCTGCGGTGCCCGTAGTTGTGCAGTCGCGGTACCATTTGTGCTCAAATGATCAGTTTTTTTTTAGTTTCCTCTTTCTTTTGACTTATTTTCAGGTGGTGGTAGATGATTGGATTGCATGGAATACAGTAGAAACAAATCTGATTGGTTTTTAATGAAACTCTTTATTCTGGACTTATTTTTGGGGTTAATGCACCTTATACCTGTTACAGGCATAACACTGGGCTGTTTAGAAAACACTGGTGCCAGAGGAATAGGTCTAATTGCTTATGAATCAGAAGTGGAAGCAAATCCTCCAAGCAACAACATCGTCCCGTTCTCGTTTTTACAGAATTACACACAAGCTGTCATGACTTATACTTATAAATCCTCTCCCGCTGTTGTGGGTTTTGAATGATGGAATCCTTCTCCAAGATCAGAACCTTACTCTCTGTTTATTGTCGCTTTCGAAAATTGACACATTTAAAATACAAAGATAATGCATGTCCTGTCAAGGGTTGAGTAAAGCCGACACATCTGTCTAAATGAAAAAAATCTCTACAACAATAATTTGGGCATAACAGCAGATGATGATAAGTGATTGCTCCTTATTCTGCTAGCAACAGATGGTTGCCTGTT